ATTATGCACTTTTTTAGACCATTTTATTAAACTTTTATGTCGTCAAATTATTAATTTCTATTTAACTTGAGTTAATTTTAGTTTGTTTTTAGTGATGGACTCGTTGGAGCAAATGGAAAAGGATGAAGAACAAATTGGCTAGTGGATGCAATATTGAAGACCAAATTCAACACTTGAAAAATTGAAGAGGACGTTGATTGCACGATGGAGGAACTCAAGGACTACATTGCATTAACTTAGAAGTGGAATGACTTGAAGAATAATTATGAGGCAATTGGAGTCTTTTTAGAGTTTTCTTTAGTCAACAAAGGCAGAGGCTAAGTTATTTTATATAGAAAAACACGTACAGGCCAAGAAATTGGAGAGAGAATCCTTCTCTTAGTCAACTAGGGTGGCCCTAGGGTTTTTTTATATATAATATATATATATACATAGCAACCAACAGAAAACGTGGGAGAGAGTTTTTTGGGGAAAATAAATTTCTGCGGCAGAATTGAGAGGGACAGCCTGCTGGGAGAAAATTGGACTGCAGCTTTAGGGAGTAAATTATTGCGGCTCTAATAATAGCATAGGAAACGGAGAGGAGGAAATTGTAGGCTGCCTTTTGCTGAATTAAATAGCTATACGCATAAAACATCAGTTTTGGGGAGTTCTTGGGATTCAAATTTTGACTGCCATAATTCACATACATACATATATTCCACACGGCAGCTTTGGGAAGAATTAATTGGTTGCTGGAATTACAAAAGAGAGGGACGCAGGAGACAAAAATAAAAGAAAAGATGGCAGAAGACGGAGATTCACGTGCCAAAACTTTAATAACGTTCCGTCAATAAATCGGATGATATCTTCCATGAATTTATCTTGCTTTTCTTTCATTAATATATTTAGCTAAATTTATTTTAGGGCGAATAATGTAACTGATTTGGGACCTTTATTTCTTCTATATGAGATTCTTGTTCTTTTATATCTTATGTGTGAATTTTAATTATATTTCTAATGCTTTGAATTATTTGGCAAATTATTCAATAATTTTGTGAACAATAATTACGTAGAGATGTGGATTTTTGTTTAGACCACATATTAAAATTCGGTAAATTAATATAACGTGAAGAGATATCTATATTAATTGCTACGGTTATCTAGGAATTCTTAGAACTGTTATTTCGTTTAATTAAATTTAATTCGCATAGAGATATGGAATTGAACTAATTAAATAGTCTCAACGAGAACTCGAGGGGGGTAAGTTGAATATAATAGAAGAATTCGACCGAACACTACTTTAGTTTATGAATCTCGATATTAGAAATAAAGGTGATCAATATATGAAATTGTTCTGCCCCAATTCCCATTTATTGATTGAATTCTCACTAATTTTCTGTTGCATTCACGAAATTTCTAATATTTAGATTTAAAAATCACATTCAATTTCTATTTATTTATTTATTTTCATTAAGTAGAAGTTAGGAATAATAAATTAAGTACTAAAATATAGTTCTCGTGGGAACGATAATCCGGACTCAAAAGGTCCACTTTACTACTTGTTACGATCCGTTCACTTGCGGGATAAAATCGACAACAGGAAGCATCTTGTATGACAATGTATAACAATATTGTCAATTTTTGCATTCTAGTATAACAATGCATCATCAGCATCAACATCAGCATTATCAATGAAATTGAGGCATTTTGTCAAATTTTTGCACCAATTTTTGTTTCAATGAAGATGATGTTGTATAAAAATGTATAATATTAATACAGGCAACAGCCACCCCTGTCAATTTTTGTTTAATCATCAATGTATAACAATGTGGGACCAATTGTTGTTTACCAATGTATAACAGTGTTGTCAATTTTTGTACCAATTTTTGCTTCAATGTATAACAATGTATCATCAGCAGCACAACATTTAGGAAATGGAAGCATCTTGTCAATTTTTGCACCAATTGTTGTTTCACTAAAATAGTGTTGTATAACAATGTATAAGTATCAATACAGGCAAATCGGTGAGCCGAAAACAGCAACATGTTTTCAATCACATTCACATTACTGAGATGGTAGTGAATGAAATTACAAATTCTTCTCAAATACTAAAGAACATACTCTAGTTGTACTAACTTCCCATACCAACATCCTAAGCATATATTACAATCACCCAAATGAACACCAACTACACATAACCTATTGCAACACACAACAGAACACATACTACAACTGAAAAAAAAAACCAGTAGGGAGCGAAATGGGATATATAGACTCTGAATATGTATCTCTGTAGCAATCAGTTGTGAAGTATCGGGCACAGTAATCATATGGATTGAGGTCCAAGCTACCAATGACTGCAATGGCATGCAGCAAGGCAATCCAAATTGCTGTCGACCGCAGTATTATTATTCTCCCCTCTCGACCCATTTCCAAATTACTGTCGTCCTCTCATCCTTTCAAACATGGGAGAAGACCTTATCATCGTTGCCCACCTTATCATCACCCACCACCTCACAATCAAACCACTGTCACCATTGTGACCACCACCTTCAAACACACACCAAAGTCCACTAGAGAGAATTATTGAATAAACATGTAAGAAGATTAAGCTGCCTTCTCGAACAGTAAACAATCGAATCGAAGTCAAGAGTCGAATTAGAGAATTCGCCATAGCCAGACTTTTAAGCGCACTCACCTTCTTGTTTCGGCTTCTGTATTTTGATGGGCAATTTAGAAAAATTTCCGCCGGCTTCTTACTTTGGTCGAGATGGAGGAGTGCTGTACTTCAAACAAAGTTTTCACCTCCAAGTGTTTTGCTCTAGTTTGGGGGAAACTGAAAATGAATAGCTGTTGCGCGATTTCGCCTGAGGCGATGAACGGATTCAGATCGAACAATTGACGATGGAAGATTGTGTTGAAGACTTGAAATACATATTTTTGTTTGGATTATATAATTAATTAAGTTTCTTAGAATAGTTTAATTAATGAAGGTTTAATTTATGCTTTTTTTGGCCTCCAATAATAATTCTCTCCCTCAATATGTTTACTTGTTTTCCATTTAAGTAAGTCATTTGGTTTAATTTATATGTACCTTTAAATCAAAACTATTTAAAAAACTTGCAACCCCAAAAAAAAATAAAATTGATTAATTAAATAGAGTTAGGAAGAAGGATAATAAATAAAATTAATATTTAAATAGCAATAATGGCAAAAGTCAATAGTTAATTAGCCTTCCAATGGTTAATTAAAGTCATCAAGCGTCGAAACATCTTCAATCGTTAGAAGACATCAAATTTGTACTTTATGTGAGCATATGCATATAATTTGTAATGTGTATGTTTTATTTTTCAGGTATATTTGGATATTGATAAATTGAAATAAGAATTATGAACCTTTAACTTATGTTGGAACTCCTTGGTTCTTACTTAGCTCTCCCTCCTCAACTTTAAAGATGAATGAAAGGAAGGAATATATTGCACTACATTTGCACACTTTTATAAAATACTCAGTGATGAGTGTAACAAAAATGTAGAAGGATCTCGAAATTTACCACATTCCTAACCAATTTATGTACAATATCCTTTTATAAAAAAAAAACTACTACTCAACAAAATCGAACATGTCTAATTCGAACATTTACTCATTTACTTATAATTTAAACTAAAATATGTTCTTTATATATTTCTTTATAAGCTAAAAACATAAAAAGTATTGACGCCAGAGTTCAAATCTAGAATAATATATTTGTTCAAATACTTCTTCATGGATTAAAATATAAAAATTAATTTTCAAATACAAAATTAATCAAGATCTACGTGATAAAATGGGAGACCTTCAACACGATAAAGACAAGTTTGGAACTACATATCTTAACTCACTCTATATATAAAAATCTTAGAGTGTATTTAATTGACAGGGAAAATATCACCTAGAAAAGAAAATATTTTTCATCTTTTGTGGAAAATAAAAACCACCTCTACTCAAGGAAAATGTTTTCCTTAAAAACAAGGAAAATTAGGCATATTTTCAAAAGTTGGAAAATGTTTTCCATAGAAAAAAATAGCAATCAAACACTTCAAGTAGAAATTTGGGTGGAAAACTGATATTTTCCATGGAAAATAAATGTAATCAAACACACCATTAATGTTGGAAAAAATTTTCCAGACGAAAATGCCCTGGCCAATAGATTATCAAATTTTCCTTTGATTAAGATTATAACATTTTTAAATTATAATTACCTTATTCAATGCTTCTAATTCTATAAATGATTAGATTAAACATGTAGCCAAAATATAATGAGTCATGGATAATCGAATTTTATTAATGAAAATGATACAGGAGGATCCGAGTCGAACGATGCTGATTTGTCAGATAGCACGATGATGACGCTGAGATACCATGAGAGGGCGGATCGGCGCAAAGATGGAAAGTGAATCGCCATTATTTCCTTAATTGGGGGAATTTGACGCGTCTTTGGTAATTTGGCCATAACTTTGGCTACGGTTATTGGAATCGCTATTATGACCCCAATCTGGAAAGCTCTCTTCGGCGCACACGTTGTGGCTCAGTGGACGTCAATTTCAAGCCCAAAATCCACTATTTTCCTTTCCAAAATTCATTTTTAAGTTATTTTTTACTATTTATGATAATATTTCACTTCCTTTTTACCATATGTTAGAAAACTCGAATTGAGCCAAATTTTTGTCAACTTACTTCTTTTACTTAATATTTTATTTTGGTATAATTTCGGGATTTTGTCATTTTTGGTAATTTTCCCATAATTTCGTATTTCGCAACTATTTAACCCGGCTTGTGGGTTAATTTTGATCATTCGGCATTATTAATAATATTGAGTTGAATTCAAAGTATTTTCTCTGGTTTTTGGGCGTTTTCTGTCGTTCTTTTCTTGCGAATCATCTGCTACAACAAGCCAATAGGATAATTACTATCCTACCTAGCGTCAGTTGGTATCAGAGCGTCAACATCTTCTTGGGAGATAAATTTCATCAGTTATAATGGTTGGTGGACGTGGTCGTGGTCGTCGAGGACAGGTTTCGATTGAGGAAGTCCCGCACCGTGATCGTAATATTCAGGATGTGACAATTGAAGATTTGCAGAGACAAGTTGCGGAGTTAACCCAATGTTTGGCAGAGCAGGAGTTCGGTAATCATGATGTGGAAGGTCTCGATTTCGATACCAGTTTCGAAAACCCGTATCACCATCGTGCTCGAGTTTGGGAGCATCGTGGACGGGAGGATCATAATGTGGATCTCAGTTTCAGAGTAGATCTGCCCGAGTTTTCTGGTACGTTGCAAGCTGACGGATTTATTGATTAGCTGAATGAAGTGGAGCAGATTTTTGAATATAAGGAGGTTCCAGATTGTGTCAAAGTGAAACTGGTCGCCACCAAACTCAAAGGTAGGGCATCTGCATGGTGGGAACAGTTGAAGCGTTCACGGGAGCGACAGGGGAAATCTAAAATTACTAACTGGGAGAAGATGAAGAAGAAGATGAAAGGGCACTTCCTCCCTTTAGACTATACTCAAACCTTGTTTCAGAGGCTTCATTCACTAAGACAAGGCGCAAGATCAGTCAATGATTATACTGAAGAATTCTATCAGTTGGTGGCTCGAAATGATTTATCTGAGACGGAGGAGCAGATTGTAGCACGGTATTTAGGGAGACTAAGGCAGCCCCTGCAGGATGTTCTCAGCCTTCATTCATTGTGGACAGTTTCTGAGGCATATCAGCGAGCACTTACAATAGCGAAACAACAGAGTAGGCCAGTAGTCGGAGGTGAAGGAAGTCAGCCAGTTCACCCTCAAGAATCTCGTCCTGTTTATCAGCCACAGTAGGATAGTTCTAGCTCAAGTATTAAGTGCTTTAGGTGTGGTGAACATGGGCATAGGGCGACTGATTGCAGGAAGCCTATTGGTCAGAAGAATAAAAATCTTCTGATTGAGGAGGATATGATAGAGGACTTCAAGGAAGTTGGGAAACCCGTGTATGATGAGGGTGAAGATGAGGACGTGCTATATGGAGATGGTCAGGAGACCCTGGTCGTTCGAAAGAGCCTGCTGACTCCCAAGGGCGACTCAGGGGATGATTGGTTGAGGACTAACGTTTTCCACGCAACCTGCACAATTGCTGATAAAGTCTATAAGCTGATAATTGATAGTGGCAGTTGTGAGAATGTAGTGTCTGAGGAGGCTATCGAGAAACTGCAACTGAAGATGGATTGTCATCCCAAACCATACAAGTTGTCTTGGCTTAATAAAGGTAGTGAGGTAACGGTAGAAAAACGATGCTTAGTATCTTTCTCGATTGAAAAAAAATATTTTGATAATGCTTGGTGTGATGTGGTATCAATGGATGCGTGTCATGTTTTGTTGGGACGACCTTGGCAGTATGATCGCAGTGTTATCCATGATGGGCAGAAGAATACTTATTCTCTTAGCATCAAAAGGAAGAGAATTGTTTTGGTCCCTCGCAGGGAAGGAAACATCCCTGCCCCGGTAGTTAATAACCCTAATCTACTTTCTATGTCCAGGTTCTTAGTTGAGGTTGGGCATGAAAAAATAGTTTATGCTTTAATGCCTCGTGAAAATAGTACATCGAATCTAGATTCAGAATTTCCAGCAGAAGTGCAGCAACTACTGATGGAGTTTTCTGACTTGATGCCGGAGGATCTTCCTCCAGGGCTACCACCTATGAGGGACATTCAACATCAGATCGACCTCATTCCGAGGTCGAGTCTACCAAACCGACCAGCATATCGCCTCAGTCCCAAAGAAGCTGAAGAGTTGCAGCGACAGGTGGTAGAATTATTGGAAAAGGGCTACATTCGTGAGAGTATGAGTCATTGTGCAGTTCCTGCTCTACTAGTGCCGAAGAAAGATGGGTCATGGCATATGTGTGTTGACAGCAGGGCAATTAACAGGATTACAGTGAAGTATAGATTTCCAATTCCCCGTCTGGACGACATGTTGGATTAATTGTCCAGTTCTAAGGTCTTCTCAAAAATTAACCTTAAAAGTGGATACCACCAGATCAGAATCAGGCCTGGAGATGAGTGGAAGACCGCGTTCAAGACACAGCATGGGTTGTATGAATGGATGGTCATGCCCTTTGGACTATCCAACGTACCCAGCACTTTTATAAGGTTTATGCATCAGGTTTGACGGCCTTTCATGGGGAAGTTTGTGGTAGTTTATTTTGATGACATACTTATTTATAGTCTGACATGGGAGTCACATTTTAATCATCTTCGTGTTATCTTTGATGTAATGAGGACGGAGCGCTTATTCATCAATCAGAATAAGTGTTCTTTCTTCACAACTTTTGTAACTTTTTTAGGTTTTGTTGTGTCTACTGATGGTGTTCATGCAGATCAATCCAAAATTGAGGCAGTTTTGAATTGGCCGAAACCAAAAACTTTGCACGATGTCAGGAGTTTCCATGGATTGGCATCCTTCTATCGACGATTCATCAAAAACTTCAGTACCTTGATTGCTCCTATCACAGAGTGCCTTAAAGGGCATGATTTTCAATGGACTGAGGAGGCAGAGGCTAGCTTTCAGTTGGTTAAGCAGAAGATGATGGAGGCCCCAGTCTTGGCACTTTCGAATTTTGAAAAGGTGTTCGAGGTAAACTGTGATGCATCTGGAGTTGGTATTGGTGGTGTTCTGAGTCAGGAGGGATGTCCAGTAGCCTTTTTTAGTGAGAAGCTATCGGGGTCAAAGAAAAATTATTCCACTTATGACCTGGAGTTCTATGCCATAGTTCAGACTCTGAAGCATTGACACCATTACCTGGTACAAAGGGAGTTCATCCTTGTTACTGATCATGAGGCTTTGAAGTACATCAATTATCAGCACAAGCTGAGTAGGCGACATGCAAAGTGGGTGGCATACTTGCAGGAGTTTACTTTCACACTTAGGCATCAAGCAGGAGTTTGAATCGAGTAGCAGATGTATTGAGCCGTCGCACATTACTCCTCACCACCATGAGTACCAAGATTGTCAGATTTGAGGCATTTCCCAATATGTATGCTGCGGATCCTTCATTTGGGAAGATAATTTGGGAGGTAACTGATAATCACCGACATGATTTTGTTTTCCAAAATGGTTACCTATTTCGTGGATTGCAGTTATGCATTTCGGATTGTTCACTAAGGTAGTAGATTATTAGTGAACTTCATAACGAAGGACATTTTAGGCGAGACAAGACATTGGCATTGGTCTCTTCTGATTATTACTGGCCCAAGTTCAGCAGTGATGTGGCGCATTATGTGGACCGGTGTTATGTATGTCAGCGGTCTAAATGGGTTCTTACTAATGCTGATTGTACACACCATTACCCGTACCTGAAGCTCCTTGGTTTGATGTCAGTATGGATTTTGTCTTGGGCTTACCTCGTACACAGCGGGCGATGGATTCCTTTCTTGTTGTGGTTGACAGATTTTAAAAAATGGCTCATTTTGTGGCTTGTCGGAAGACAATGAATGATACTCGGATTGCTCATCTTTATTTCAGAGAGATTGTACGTTTACATGGTGTTCCACAGTCAATTACTTCTGACCGTGACACTAAGTTTATGAGTCATTTCTGGAGGAGTTTGTGGGAGAAACTTGGAACGAAATTGAATTTTAGCAGCACATACCATCCCCAAACAGATGGTCAGATTGAGGTGGTGAATCGGAGTTTGGGAACTCTTTTGAGAAGCTTAGCCGTGACTAAACCGAAGCAGTGGGATTTGGCATTACCTTAAGCAGAGTTTGCTTATAACTGGTCAAGGAATAGAACCACCGGACTGAGTCCTTTTGAAATTGTCTATGGTCGAAACCCATCCGGAGTACTTGATTTGGCTCCAATTCCACGTGTGGGTCGCTTCAATAATAAACCTGATGAGATGGCTGAACATCTTCGAGGTATCCATGAGCAGGTGAAGCTGTCCATACAGGATAGTAATACTAAGTACAAAGTTCGGGCAGATAGTCATCGACGCCAGGTGTTGTTTGATGTTGGTGATTTTGTTTGGGCAGTATTAACTCGTGATCGTTTTCCAGCTGGGGAATACAATAAGCTAAAGGAGCGGAAGATTGGACCTTGTGAAGTACTGCAGAAGATCAATGATAATGCTTACAGGCCTCCCTAACCATTTGATGACCTCTGACGTCTTCAATGTAAAACACATAAGCCTTTGTTTTGTGGAGTCCGATAAAGTCATTGTGAACTCGAGGGCGAGTTCTTTTGAACCCGTGCGACTGACGCAGGAGGATCCGAGTCGAGTGATGTTGATTTGTCAAATAGCATGATGATGGCACTGAGATACCATGAAATAACGGATCGGGGCAAAGATGGAAAGTGAATCGCCATTATTTCCTTAATTGGGGAAATTTGACGCGTCTTTGGTAATTTGGCCATAACTTTGGCTACGATTATCAGAATCACTATTATAACCCCAATCCGGAAAGCTTTCTTCGGCACGCACGTTGTGGCTTGGTGGACATCAATTTCGAGCCCAAAATCCACTATTTTCCTTTCCAAAATTCAATTTTAAGTTATTTTTTACTATTTATGGTAATATTTCGTTTCCTTTTTTCCATATGTTAGAAAACTCGAATATAGCCAAATTTTTGGCAACTTACTTCTTTTACTTAATATTTTATTTTGGTATAATTTCGAAATTTTGCCATTTTTGATAATTTTCCCATAATTTCGTATTTCGCAGCTATTTAACCCGGCTTGTGGGTTAATTTTGATCATTCAGCATTATTAATAATATTGAGTTGAATTCAGAGTATTTTCTCTAATTTTTGGACGTTTTCTGTCATTCTTTTCTTGCGAATCATCTGCTATAACAAGCCAATAGAATAATTACTATCCTACCTGGCGTCAGAAAAATAGCATAGGATTGTTAAAATGTTCTTTTTTTAGATTATCTCAAACCAATTTGTATTTATGTTTCCTTTAAAACATAATTGATAAGTGTGTTTTTGCACACTTATTTAGGTCACAAATATGACTTAATAATGAGCAAGATGATTGAATTTTGACTTAATCTCATTATATTTGTGAATTGTAGGGAGCACAGATGAACATGGTGAAATTCAGAAGAAAAGAGCCGAAAAAAGACTAAAATGGAGCAAAATGATAGTTCAGGGACCAAAAGTGCAAATATCCAGAAGTTGACTCGATGAACAAATCGAGAAGTCAATTAAGCTAATTGCCAAATTCACGATTTCGTCGGGTGATGAAATGAAAAGAATGAAGAGAAGATGCTAAGAAGTGAAGGATGCAAGTTGGAGGACCAAAATGCAATTTCTCCATAGTAGATAATACTATGCGACCGCATAGTATTATCTTCTATGCGGTCGCATATTACCATACCGAAACAAAATAAGGGTGGAAAATTCCTTCTATGCGACCGCATAGGATTACTCTATGTGGTCGTATAGAACAAAAGGTTGAAGAAAATTCTAGTTTCCTTTTTCTTCCGAAACTCTTATGGAAACAAAATTTTAGGGTTCTATAAATACAAAAACTCGACCAGAACGAAGGGGACGCCGTTTGTACATATTTTTGGGAGATTTTGCAGAACAAACAAGGGAGAAAACAAGAGAAAAATGCCGCGCCAATTGAAGATCGGAGCGAATATTGATTCGGGTGATGTCGTCTCTTTAAATACTTTTAAGTTTTGTTCTTTTTAACATGTTAGGCTAAATTTATTACTACTAGGAGATCAATGAACCATGTAATACCACATTTAATTATTGGTTTGGATTTTTAACGTATGTAAACACTAATTCCGGAATTGATTGATTTATTTCGTTTTTATTGTCATATAATTATTGTGCACGTGATTATATGAATGTGGTGACCTGTTTTATGCATTCGAAAGAAGGAAAATAGGTTCGACATAGGATAAATCGTCATAGGGTCCGATAGAGGATAGAAATATACCTCTATGCCTTGTGTGAATTAATTGATATTCGTGAAATATAATGCATGTCGATATATTAGTATTCGTCATAGAAATATAGCCAAATCATATATTGGGATAGGTTTGGCATTGCTCGAGAGAGATTGCTAAATTACAATAGGAATATCGATTCATCTTTTATGGAATTGGGTGTCAAATTTGCATAAATAACTATTGAACGGGTATTGCTTGGGATTCGTGATCCTAGTGAGTTAGAACATTCATTAATTCTATAAAAAAATTTAAGTTAAATTGCATCCAAGTTACTTTGAACTTAGTATAATCCTTAGTCAATAATTGCATCAATGATTCCATTCTGTTAGTTAAATTATAAGAACGCAATTTGCTTGTCGTGTTTTGGTTAAGGTCATATTAGATTAATTTGAACTAACTCAATCCTCATGGGATCGATACTTGGACTTATAGTCCATTTTACTACTTGTCAACGAACCGTACACTTGCGGTGGGTTTTGATTCGAAACAAATAATTTCGCGAACAAGTTCTTGGCACCGTTGCCGGGGATTGAAATTTAGTTCTAATTTTATCTTTTGTGACACTAATTTGAACTTATCTAGATTAGTAGTAGTGCGTTTACTAGCTTTAGTTTATTAATACTTTAATTTAATTCTATATTGATTTTGAAATTGCAGGGTTTGTATGCAAGGAGCACCGGATCAAGATTTGATTCCCATAGATCCAGAGATCGAACACACATTCCATCATAGGCAAAGAGAAGCAAGAGCGGCACAACAAATGGCTAACGAGCAAAATCGATCGGAAATTCCACTCAACGAAGGCATGGCAGTTGAAGATGATGGGAATACAATACTTGGGGACTTCATGGCTCCATTGGTGGTCCAAAGTCAATCTAGCATTGTGTATCCTCCATTTGGGCAACCGAACTTCCAGCTAAAAACAAATGTGATTCAACTGTTTCAGAATGGGCATCAATACCATGGGTACACATTTCTCGATATGTGCAAACACTTCAGGTATCAGGGTATCTCAGAC